AGCACTTGAGTCTGGCAGAGGTGAAAGCAAACTGCTGCAGTCTGCAGCGTTGTTCCATACTCAGGAAATGCGACTTCTCAGATCATTCCAACTTCAATTGGAGAGACATCCTCCAGGAGATGGATAAACAATAGGTGGCATCAGTTCTCTTTGTCATCCCTATGTACACCCCTCAACAAATAATGCATGATATGTTCCTGTTAGAACTAGAAGGAATTGATAAAGAACAGATCAACTCTGTAACCCAACCCACCCAACAAACATGTGAACATTTAAGCACTTCCTTTTAAATGCTGACTCAGTTCAAGTTAATTCGAAATTTCTATTGTGTTGTAAAAACTGTACAGAAAACTGCCAACTCAGTCACAGGCATATACATATATTATACTTTAAATAAAACTCACAAAAGTGAAAAATAATTGCAGTAATGTACATTTCAGGTGTCCATTTCTACTTGATGTCCTTGTGACAACAGCTAGTGATGATTCACATGTCTTCGAGGATGCCAAAGTACCGGTTATCTGCATGGCATATGGAATGCTGTTGTACCAGAGGAGTTGTCGCATTGGAAGACTGCAGCAGCTGTTCACGATCCTTTTAAGTAGATCAGCAGCCAAGAAGGAGGTCAGTTTGTTTGTTTGTTTTTCTGAAATCAATTGCCGATAAAATCACTTAGTTTTATTTTGAAATTCTGTTGGTGACAACTGCATGAAGCTGTATAGTTCTGTGCAGTAAATGAAACTTTGGGAATATGGGAAATAGTTGCTAAGTTGTAATTATTGGTAAAAGAGATCACTTTCATGCCAGGACTATTTCAGTCAATTTTTTTCTTCAATTTCTGTTATTTTATATTAACACCAGCGACCATGGTAAATTCTAACAAAACCCCAGAGTGAGAGTATTCTTCATGTAATGTGATGCAAGCTTTTCCATGACACTCAAGTGAAAATATTCAAGATGGAAAATATTATAACTCCTGCAGCAGGCACTTTGTTTTCAATAATGAACACAAATAAAATCCACAAATGAAATATGCTTTTTGCCCCCAAAGCCTGAGACACTGTGGAGGACCCCCCCCCCGTCCCCTTCAAGTGGTGCTTGTGTAAAATGGTGGGTGAATTTCTGAAAACCATAATTCTACCTCCATGGTTATACAGTCTGTACAAAAGAAATCCACACTGAAAACAGCTACATGTATTTGAAACCTTACAGTCAAGTCTTGTTAATTCAAATTCAAAATGTTTTTTTTTAATCCAGAATTTTGTATTAAGAGGATCATCAGCCCCAGATCAAGGCTTTATATTTACTTTATCCAAATCTTAATAAGTCATTCAATCATACAGGGTTTTTCTTCAATATTTATTTTCCAAACAGATCTACAGGGAGTTTCAGCGGGTGGGAGTATGCCAGTCCTTCACACAAAAAGATGTGCTGCTGAACAAAATCGGTGGTCATTTCAACGAGGAAGCAATGGAACTGGTCAAGAAGGGAAGCAAATTCCAGATTATTGGAGATAACTTTGACCTCCGGGTTCTGCGACATGACATGACGAAGGATGCAAAGAACATTGACTTACATTACTTTGCAAGCACCATTGTATTTGACAGGATATCATTTGAACAACTGCCTGATGACAAACCAACCCGACCACTCCAGCAGTGTCCCATCTCATCTTTCGTGCCTAACGAGGATGAAATCAACACACTGAAGAAGAGCTACAAGATTCTGGTGGCAAGAGACATTGTCGAGTGCTGTCCTGCATTGGCTTTCATGAAGTCGGTCATACCACATCACATCAAGCACAAGTACAGTGACATTACAAAGGAGAAGAGTGCCCTGTTTACCCAAGAGATTCTCCCATGCAACGAGAATAACTATGGGGAAGTGGTCCAGATCCTTAGCAGATACGAAGAATGGGTCCATAATATATTTCGAAAAGAATCTGCAACTCCACTGGTTGAAAAGCAAACTGAAGTAAGTGTGAACAAGTTAGACGCATGTTTCGAAAGTAAAATCCTGCTGTCTCATACAAATGGAATAATCACCGGCCATGTATTTGTTACAACCACAACCCAAAACATTTTTTTTTTTAATTTTACTAAAGAAAAAATAATGACACTTACACACATAGATAGTTGATCATAATAGCTGTAAATAAGACTTGACAAATGTACAGACGTATCCAATCTATCTCGTACATATCATACATGTGCTGATTCACTGACTAAATGATAAAGTATAGTTGTTTTGGTTCAAACATAACTTAATTAGAGTGCAATTTTCCCCCACTAGCAAATACTAAGAACCTTAAGGAAATTTGGAACTTGCACAACAGTGTCTACAATATTGTTGTTACAGGTTTTGGGTCCCTGAGGAGGGGAAAGTGTGAGGGATAGGGTGATTTTCTCTTTTTTGGAAAGGTTACAATTGAAATTGATTCAATGAGAAGTTTCTACTTTTGAGTTTTGAAGTAACCTAAATTGCATGCTTGTTCTTCTCAGGGAGATGGGGATGCGGATTTCTGCATGTTGGGAGCTGACGAGCTTACTTACCATGATCATGTCCATACCAAAGATCTACAAGACGAGGGTGTTGTCATCTGTTCAGGCACTGACAACGTAAGTTATTGCCAAATATAAAATAATGCATGCTGCCCTTCCTTAACACACAAAAACCAAAACATTTAAATTTGGGTGTTGTATGGTGATTCTACACAAAGACTAAACCTTGAAACACAAAGAATCAACCTGCTTCTGTTGTACATGTGTGTTTGGAAGAATCATGTACACATGTACCAGCTGTGATATGGCAGCATAAAAATGTCCCTGCCCCACCCCCCTCTAAAAATGATAAAACAAGAATGTGTTGTGAAATAAAGAAATTTTTTTGGGGAAAAACATGTGCCCCCTTCTCGAAAAAAATCCTTTTGGCTTTGTTTCATCTGAAGTTGGGTCAGGGAACCAGACTACACGAACAGCACTTTTTTCTTGGTTTTCCCAGCATTATGAACACATAACTGTAAAACGGGTCAGTGTATCAACATTTGTTATAAAAAAAACTAACCCCAAATCCATCCATTCCTGGAAATTACAGCAAAAGCAAATATGGCATTTACCTTTTTTTTCTTTTCTTTTTTAAATATGTGTTACAGGAAACTGGAGCAAAGTCTGATACACCAGCTTCATGTCCGAATGTTCAGTCAAGACCAGACCAGCCAGGATCTCATATGATGCAAGTGGATCCAGCTGATCCGCTACAGCACGTCCACATTCCTGTTGGTGGTGACCAGCTGACAAGAGTCCGGCTTGCCGGGGCAAAGGATCTCAGGACTGGAGTTCACACTGCAAGACAGCGGTTCGATCATCTGTACCCCTTCGTCTGTGAAATTTGGCATGCTAAAAAGGCTTTTTTGAATGTACGTTTTGGATTATGCATTTTCCTGTACTTTCCAAAAAGCACCCATGACAACAAAATTTGCAGCCTTCCTGACCTTGTTTTAGAAGTTTTCTAATTTTTGGATAGAAACAAAAAACGTACATTTTGTAGATGATGATGTTCCTTCTCTCGTTTTTAAACCGCTTAAATTCTTAACAATATTCTGCATTTATCTTCAAATCAAGTTGAATCCTCAATCCTAATTGGTCAGTTCATAACAATGGTGGCGATATAATTCCAAAATATCACTGCCCATATCACTCTATATCATGCATACATGTGATTACGATAACCACAGCAAAGCTCATGTTCAGTGTGCATATAATCTGTACTATTTTTGCTTGAACTGAAGATGAAGTTTTTATCCCACTTGCAATCACTGAAAATGATGTGTGTTTATGTTCCAAATGCCATAAGCCTGAATACTTTCTTAAAAAAAAACCAAGTATCTTTCCACGCCCACAGTATGGGAAAACTCACTTTTTTATTGAACCTTTAAAATACCCTTGCATTCCCACTTCTAACAGATTGTTTGCTTTCTTTTTTTACACAAATATTTTCAGATGGCTTTCGATGTGCTGTTCAGCAACAAGTCAGCTCACGATGTAGGTACTCTGAAGTACTTTCGGGAGAGGATTGGAAGGCGCAATGTGACAACTCCTGACAAAATTATGAAGCGTGTGAGCAGCTGTTTCTGACTGTTGGCAAGGGATACCTTTGGAATGCTGCTTGTCAATTCTAGGGAATGAAAGACATCTCATCTGAACCTACCCAGCACATCCCTACAAAACTACAGCGAGAACGACAAGCTCACACAGAGCTGTATTTTGATAAGGTTATTACTGAATTTGTGGATCAGTATGTACTAGTCAGTCATGAGTCTGAGCAGATGATAGTTGCCAAAGATAGATTGGTTCAGTGCAGCAGAGTTGCCCTTGATCATAATTACACAGTAAGACAGCCTGAAGATAATGCTGAAGTGGTGGTTGAGAAGGTGAAGGAAAACATACAAGTCACTGCACACACGTCCCAGATCACTAACCCTCCAAAACCTCCTCCCACTCCGAATCTGCAACCGTCTTCGGTAAAAGTGTCAAAACCTGATGATGAAACACCATCACCTTCACAAACGGTAAATCGTTTAGATGGAGTTAGATCTTATGGGATGTGTTTGCTTGACATGTATGTGTTTCTCCGACAAATGATTGACACAACTAAAGAAGGAGATGGAAGTCGACTCCTGATAAACATGAAAAGGCTACTTTTGTACTTCTATGCAATGGGTCAGAAAAAGAAAAAATATGCTCTAGAAACGCTAGTTGCTATTGCTCAGGTGGAAGCACTTTTAACTCCCCAAATGGCCCAAAGAGTTTTGTGGGGACGTTTCTGTAGTATTAGAGGAGGTCCTGGCAACAATATGGAGTGTGATTTAATGCAAGAGATTTACAACAGAGAAGGCAAGAAACAAATACAGTGCATGGGACCAAATAAAACTGTGAAAGCTATCCAACGAATCTCAAAAGCGCAAGCAGGTCTGCAGAAAATTTCTGAGAATTTTGCTGGTAATACCAGTGTACACAATTTGTCAGTGAAACACACTCATAGGTCAGCTGCAAAGGATGAATACCAGGTCATTAAAGATTTAATGTCCTGTCTCTTGAAAGTAAGCTCTCATTGTATGTGGCACTCCAATGTGTACAACATGGCGAATACTTGGGGCATCTACACCCATCCCTACTGCACATGTTACAAACACAACCCTGCATGTGTTCTGTGATGACAGTTGCTTGAGCAGAACTTGTTTCATTTCTTCAGTTTGGGGCGCATGATACTGACCGAACAATCTGTGATCTGGACCAGCACATGTTTCTGGATAGTACTGATGAACTCCAAGTACATTTTCAAATAGCCTGTGTGCATAGCCGCAGTACTTTAGTTTCATGTAAATGATATTGGATGGATAACAGATGCGTTCTTCAAGCAACTTGATGGCTATTGGATAGAGTATGTCGTAGTAACTTTGAACACCATGGGTAGAGGGCAATCGACTCTTTACGGCATACATGATGTTTTCTCTGTCGGGGTTCCTGCTAATAATTACTGGCTTCTTCAAGCAAAGTGATTTAATTATGGCTTCTCTGTAATCTTGGGGAGCGGTTGCCGTCATTGCAGCTGTTGGAGTATGTGGAAATAGGCTAGCTAAAATGGCTAACTTTGCAAAGTCCTGTCTAAAATCCAGACCCCATTCTACTATGCAATGTGCTTCATCTACCACCGTAGCAACCACGGTATTTTGGATTGCATCAGACAGTAAATAGGGACGAGATGACACAACTGCTTCAGGATGGGCATAGACAATATTTGCTTTGCGTAGTTGCTCCTCGGTGCTCCCAGCAATACAAACATCTGTAGATGAAATGCGGTTTGTCTCTTCTTCTTCTTCTTCATCACTTTGATGATCAGGACAAGACCCAGTCATATGACCACGAAGAATACCAACTTGGACCCCAATGCTAGAAAGTTTTGAGGCTTGATCTTGAACTATGGCATTCAGAGGAGTGACTACCAGAAGTTTTGGATTTTTTATGTTTAGTTTATGTCCAAGCATATAAACAGCTAGCTGATAAATAAGGCTTTTGCCATAGCCTGTGGGAAGAATGACAAACACATCATGTCCATTGAACAGTTCCCATAATGCCCGACACTGTGCAGGTTTGAGATTAACACTGAGCTGTAACTGATTTACTGCATATTGCACCGAGGGCCAAAAGCTGTTAATTTGCCAGGATAACATTGTAGATGCCGGCAACTCCATGCAACTGATCGAGGAGAGAGCCATCAAATGTAGATTTTACTTGTACTTGTACAGTAGTTTAGTAGTAGTAGCCCCCCAAAATGCCTAATCTAAATAATTTTAGCAACCTGAACTGTCTATGTCTGACAGTGACATTGTCTGAGTTACACTCATATTAATATGTCATGTACTATTTACTAATAGAGTGTCCAGTACACTACCACGTAATAAATAAGTAAACAAGAGGAGATGTGAGGTGCAGTACTGAAGTGACGATGTCTGGTTAAATTTCTGTTCACAAGTTGTCGATATAAATATAGATTCGCCTCTTTTTATCTTTGTTTTCAACATCAGCAATCGGCAACGATTGATTTGCACACCGAAGACTACATGGCCGGCCTTGTATTGCATGAATTTTCCAATCAAGTTATTAAATCTAGTTCCAGACCACACAGACTACGTTATGAATGCGACGAAGATGCGAAGTTCAATTCGGAACCAGACTATTACGTGCGCCCAGAATACATCGCCCACAGGGAGACTAATTTACATACGTGTGCAAAAATCTTGCACATGCAAATGATCCAATACCAGGGTGAGAGAGCAGGTAGTGATGGGCGCGTACTGTTCGACACCCTGGGTACGAGGTTGCGCCTTTATCATCATCATCTCACAAAATTGTCATACTTTGTCATCAGTTGGCATGTTACTTTTCAGCTTTGGTTCATGGAAATACATGTACACTGCGAAAAAAAGCGTCTCTGCTAACTATAAAGCTTGACTATGGGCTCAGTGCACCAACAAAAGAGGGCGCGTTTTTGCCACTTTTCAGAGCATCGTGGACAGGACACACAGCGTGTGCATACTGTACTGTACTCTACTGGTTAGAGCACAAAGTGTGCACGACTTCCTGAACGTGCCAAAGCTATTAGCCACAGTGTCTTCGCGTGAGCGTCAGGCGTAGTCAGCGCGTGAATACAATCAAATTTTACTTGCGATGGTCTCCCCGACTAATCCCGCCCCCAATATCTTTGGATCATTCGAAATACGCAGTGGATGGACTAAGAACCGGCCCCCAACTCTACTTTCTGTCTGTTGAAAGGGTACTTGTGCATGGAGCCCATGACAGACTGAGGGTAACCGAGAACCTTGTTCTTGGATCTCCATCTAGTTCTAAGGATTAACACATTAGTCTCTGTACCGCCCAAAAGTGCCGGACTTGTCAATTCTTTATACACCCCTCAACCACCCCAACACTCTATGGTGTCAAGGATTCAATGAGTAAACACGGTTTAATACCAGGTTAAACAAATGAAATTTTTTAAACTCATAATGATGATTTGTGCCAATAGTTGCTACCCTTGGTAGCAATTTTCAGCACAAATCCTTGATTCATTTCCAAGATATTAGCCTCCAAAAACCCTATAAATTTATGCGTGTGCGAAAGTGGGCATGGCACCAATCTTTGTTAAGGCCATATCTCAGAAACCCTTAGGAGATGGTGCTTAAATTGTTGCATGTGTTCATTATACACAGAAAGGTACTTCTAGGTTTTTTTAAGCCAAATCCGAGTCGATTGCCATATAGGACCTCTGGTTGGAGTGAATATGGAATGGCCTATACACCTATTACTTACTGTGAGTGACATCAGTGCAAGACTGGTCTGGATTACATGTTCTATCAATGGGTGCACACGCACAATGGCCCTTGCACGTTGTAGGCAAGCAGCGTCGCAGCAGGACAAGGGAGCCCTCGTCTGGTCGAGTAGGAGAGGCTTCAAAAGTGGAATGATGACGGCTGCTTGGTATCCCAACCTACAGAGATATTAAAAACAATATGAATTCAAAAAGTAGTTTATCTTTTTATACTTTCATTGATCACGTTACAACCAAACCTCTTTCTAGAATGAGACAAAGTTTTTATGACCAGTAACATCTTTTCACGAGATGAATCTGCGTCAGGGTGATGTAAATGAATATTAGGTTTTGCCCTTTCAACATCTTAAAGGAAGGGTAGATCATTTGTCATTTGTGCATTTTTTCGTTTGAAGCAACGAAAGTGCTCAAAAACTAAAGACAGGTGCTTAACAACTAACCTGATGAAGTTTTAGCTCTATGAATGCTGTGCACTCAGAGAAAACAATATTCTAGAATCTCGGTTTCAATTCTAAAGTTGCTGAGTCATGTTTAAATTGCGCACGAAATCAGCATGCGGCACACGTTCTCTTTCAGGCTACTGCAGCTATACGTGATGTCGCGTACTGAGCCGATGAATAATAGCAACCCCGCGCAGGTGTGCGTCGTGTCAACACTTGCAAAATGTGACATTTGGCTCATCCTTGGAAAATGACCTTCTTTTATTATTTTCTTCATAATGACAGCAAGCAAGAAGGAACCATTTCGCAGGGAGTTGTAATAGTGCCATTACTATCATTAAACCAAGTAAGCTTGTCAACAACAATTCAGTCAGTTACTTTTTGGATAGCTGCAAATGATCTACTCTACCTCTAACTGGAGTTGATCAACCTCGGCTTTCACCATTTGGTATTGTTTCATGTTGAATGGAGAATAAATGTTAATAAAAATATTGTGATTTGTTTCACTTTTTAAAATATGACCAAAAATTTAAATACTCCACAAGTTCTCCTCAGTTCATACATGATTATTTTAATAGAGACCTCAAAGGAATGTATCCTTTCATAAATTATGAAAAGATACATTCCTTTGAGGATTATGATAATGTCAAATATTTTCCAAAATGGCTGATCTCAATTTGAACTGAATCTATAAAATTGCACGATGGCTCCAGATGACTTGAGACCAATTACAAGTAACATTTCAAATGAATGTTACACTTGCAAATCAGAGGTTTTACACTTTTCCAACCAAACGTGTTTTAATCTACATTTGTATAGATTCATAACAATTACAACTCATTACCCCATTAACAGCCCAGATGGAGATGTAGAGATACAGATGAGATGGGTCTGTTATACTGCCCTCTAGTGGTATGATGGCTGTCTGTGCGATGCCTTCATCCAATGACATGCCGTCATTGCTGTGGTTTACACGAACCGGTCCATTCTTAGGAAAACAAAATTGTCATTTACTTCACTTTTGACACACAAGAGTTCCATAAACTGAACAAAATATAACATTCTCGAAAACCACACAAAACCAGAATTGGATTGTTCAAAAGAGTCATCTAGAGCAAAGAGCGCTTCAGATTCTTGCAATTAACAGAAAACTTGACATAGAAAACTGAATCAAAGGGCAAGTTTGTGCAAGAACTACTGTTAACCATAGTTCGAATAAGTTAACCCGAACTCTGTCTACTGGACGATGGTTGGACTACGCTAGTCAAATATTTGGAACCAGCCTACTGGGGCTGGTCGCATCACTGGTTATCAGTAGCCTCGTTTTGTTACTTAAGTGCAGAGGGAACCATTGACAAAAGGTTAAACCGTAGCGAGTTGTACTACCCACTGGTGGGCCTCACAGATATCTTCCGGTTCATTCAACAGGTCAAAGAACGTAAACAATCCAAACATACTCGTGACCGCCATATGTTGACAATGGTTTGACTAGAGTCGTTCGCACTTTAATGTTACAGCGCATGCGCCCTGTTTGATACCAACCAACCATTGGTTGACCACAATGGTTGTTGTGCAAACTTGCCCAGAGATGCAACAAACAGAACACATCAATGAAAGTTCAAATACAATTGAATAAAATGGTCAACAAATGATTAACACTTTTTTTTGGGGGGGGGGGGGCAGATCAATGTTGAACTATTTATGCAATTATTTGAAAAATTTTCATTTGTCAATAACAGCCATATAATGCTGGACATGGAATTCCAAATAAAGCACAAAGGTACCGGAGTGAGTTCAGTGCCGCTGTACGTGCGTCCGGCAGAGACCAAGTAGTGGCTGATACCAGAGTGTACATCAGCAAATCCCAGCCAGGCAAGGGCTAAGGAACCCAGGGATGTACGGGGGTCTTCAAGCCACGTCATCCAGCCAGAGTGGTAGCGTGGAGGAGATGGGGTGGTCGGTGGACTCTCCGTGGTAGAGCTGATTGAGTCGGTGGCGTAGTCTGTTCCATCAGGCTGTTTTGGAGGTTAGTATACAGGGTGGTTAAAAACACTTTTGAAAGCAATTTTCACCAACTTAATGAACTTATTTTAAATATCTTATCACATAGTAGTAAAGTATAGGCCTTTAACTATGCATGGTGAAAAAAAGCTTAGTAAAAGTCGCAAAAATAGTGATTATTATGCTAATTTGAATACAAGTCACCAAAATCAGTCTTGTCCACGGGTTATTCTATGTACATTTGACGTTTTCGGAGTTCATAAAAATTAAAGAGGTTGTGGAATGCTCGAAGGCATTTCCGTCATTTTTCGGGTATATGTAGCCTAAGGTGTGATGAAACAAAAACGACTATTGTTTCTGTCATGAAATGAGTACAAAAGGTACTTTTGAGAGCTGTTTTTCAGGTCCAGTTTCGACCTGAACGTTCAACTGTGTAAAAGTCGTCGTTGCGGGCAGCAAACAAAACACAGTAAATCGTGACGTAATAAACAGGACTCCCGATGCACAGTAGCATACACGAGTCCTGTTTATTACGTCACGATTTACTGTGTTTTGTTTGCTGCCCGCAACGACGACTTTTACACAGTTGCACGTTCGGGTCGAAACTGGACCTGAAAAACAGCTCTCAAAAGTACCTTTTGTACTCATTTCATGACAGAAACAATAGTCGTTTTTATTTCATCACACCTTGACTACATATACACGAAAAATGACGGAAATGTCTTCGAGCATTCCACAACCTCTTTAAAAAAAAACCTTCCCACCAAAATATATTTTGCCATGGTAACTTTTTTTGAAGCCGTCCAATTATTCATGTCAGTGTTAAGATCATCTACTCAATGAGCTGTCAGCTTAAGTTCACTGTTGCATAACATTACATAACATAACAATCAAATGTCATGCCCTTTCAAATAAAGCTCCAATAGCTGAGCTCAGTCAAGCGAAGGGAATGTATACCTCCATGGAAAAACAGGTTTCGCACATGAAATGTTCAAATTAGCATAGCTCAACAACAAAATGTGTAAATGCAACGATTTCTTCTTCACATTTGCTTAAAGGCCAGTACTTTAATAGCTACTAATCGACAGTTAAAAATAATTTTGAAAATAAGTGAAAATTGCTGTCAAATGTGGGTGTCCTTTTTTTTTTAACCACCCTGTATGAATCATACCACAATAACTCAAAAAAAAAATTCACATTCACAAACATTTTAGCAGGA